CACTCTGAGCAGGAGTGATAGTGACTGTTTTAATGGGTCCCAGTTATGGGTAAAATAACAATTCTTTCCACTTTTTTTTTGTTGTGATCACAACCCAAACTTATAATATTGTTGTTAATGTTTATTAACTCGAAGTACTTAACTGTGGACAAAATGATATGTCTAATTTTTGTGGATATTAACTTTAATAAAAAAAAAAAAATAATACAAATAAAAAAAAATTTTTTAAAAATACAAATAAAAGAAACAATTTTATTACATTATGAATACTAAAAAAAAAAGAATTTTTCTGAATACTAAAGTATTTGTTCCATATTAATATTGACTTTACTAATATTTTGAAAGAAGATTCCATAATATACCCAAAAATGGGGGGGTGCAGTTTTTTTTGTGTATATGTAACTAGTGAGCTAGCCCAAATGACTTGACTCACTTTATAGTCCACCAATAGAAGGTTAACTAATCAGAAGACGTAGAATATTCAATCCGTCGTGTATAAAGGCAGCCATTTTGTTTACTCTACCCGAATGTCCAGTTCCAGCTTGTCAGGCAAAGAGAAACAGAAGGATGAACTACGCTCTGCTACTTTTACCGGGATATCCACTGCTAACCTGAAATACGCTTCCCTACTGTCTTCAGAATATTCACTGCTAACCTCTGGATTCTATACTCAAAGACGACCATCATCATGAACAACACTGTTTGCTCTGCACATAATAACTAGAAATCTGTTAAATAAAAAATAAATAGTGGAACTGAAACCAGTTTCTTTGTCATGGTTTATTTTTTGATTACAGATCTGGGACCCTTTTTAAATTCCAAAGATTATGCAATCAACATCAATCAGAAATTAAGAAATTCAAACATATTTTTCTGATAGTTATATAAATGTGAAAGAATATTTGGATAGCTGATTTCACAATATATCTTTGATAGAGCTTTCTTAATAAAATTCTTATTTACTCTATTTATATTTGGACTATTATCCCCATCTTTGTTGCTATCACAACATTTTGGCAGTTGTGCCCTCTGCCTTTCTTCAGTGAAGTTTTATACATTTGGAACATTTTAAAGTTTCATGTTTGTTGTAACATTTTAATATGAAAATTTTTTTACATAATGTCAAATTTTGGATTTACATTTTCTCAGAATACAATAAAGAAAAAACATGAAATCACAAATAATATGTAAGAATCTGACTTGTAATTCAAATTTACATTGAAAGCACAACAACTCAAACAAATTAGACAAGTCAGTGTATCAAAATCTTAGGATGTATTTATGAATATAAATGAAATAAATTCGTCTATATTTTCACGAATCATAAATATGAATTTTGATTTATTTCATATAAACAAAGTATTAGAGATGTTCCTTTTTAGGGTCTTTTAATGAAATGGGTTAAAATATTTGTGATATCAATATGAAGTGTACACAAACTATCTCAGCTAGAATTTCAATTTAATTTTCCATATTGTTTATTTCTTTCATTATTTGGTGGAATGAAGTCTTACTGTTTGATTTTATTTTCAGAAGTTTTATATATTTTCAAAATTTCACTAGTGCTGTAACATTTTTTAAGTGTAGCTTTTTTTTATTTTTACATTGATTTTTATGTTGTCTACATGTCGACTTTAAATATTACAATGAATAAATTGTAACTTATTAATTATCAAATGCATTAATAAATATTTAAACATTATTATTTGAATAAAACCATGTGCAAGAATTTTTCAGCACTCTCTTGTGTGGTTTGAATTCTCAGAATTAATGTCAGTATTAATTTTCCATCTTATTTCTTACCTTTTTATAAATTTTGTTTCCATTTTTACTGATTCAGATATCCCCAAAGTCTCATTCTTACTTTGTTTTTAATTTTCATTAATGACCTTCCCAATGGCATCAGTACTTGGTATCTATACTGATGATACAACCATTTACTCTTGTCTCTATAGTAAGCTCAATAAGGTTAAATTGGCAGCTGATGCCATAAATAAACTTCAGTCTGTTGTTAACTGGGGCAAAGGATGGATTGTTAATTTTAACACCTCCAAAACTAAACTGCTCTTTATTATCTGAGAGACCCCATTCTGCCTTCAATCAGCATGGCTGATGCTAACTTCCAAGAGAGTGACTCGTTGAGCCTTCTTGGGCTAACATTCACAGCTGACATGAAGTAGAAAGACTATATTGAATTTATCGCTAGGTCAGCTGCTAAGAAATTTCTTTCACTCTGTCATGCTAGACAGTTTTTCTCTCCAGTATCTTACTTAGGTATAAATCTACCATTTGTCCATGCTAAGAATATTGCCGCCATATCTCGTTTAGTACTCCTGCTATATATCTAGAAATCATTGATAATATCTAAAGAAGAATCAGAAATCTGGCATCTTGACTTCAGTCACTTTCCCACTACAATAAAGTTGCCTCTTTTGCCTTTTTTACAAATACTTTCACTGTGATTGTTTGGATGAGCTCTTTGCTATAAGTACCTAGACTTTATGAATTTAAGCACAGTACCAGATGTGCATTCTGGTGTAATGGATATCAGCTTTGAATGGGAAATTGGAGTGCCAGGTTCAAATTTCAGTCGGGTTTGTTATATTCACTTATACTCAAATACCCTTGGGAAAGGCATGAGTCCATTATTTCTCCCTCCCCACTATGGTTTAAATAGTAGAACAAACCAGTATGTTGCAGAAAGAAACTTTGGGAAAATCTTCTGCCTAGTCAGTCATGAATCAAAAAAGACAAGATCACAAAGTATATATCACAACTACCTTAACTGACAAGACTGGCAATGTGGTCTCACCAGTTTACAGTTGAGTTGGTTATATGTAAACGTAAGTTCTATGCTAACAGTTTCTTTTCTCGCACTTCTCACTTGTGGAACTTCCTTCTGGCTCCATGCTTTCCAGTTAACTTTAATCTTAAAAAAATGCAATGTCACTCACTATCTACTCTCCTCCTGATTACTCTTCTTTTGTTCTTACTCCTTGGTAATGTTTCTGTTTTCTAATTCTTCCACACTTAGTAACCCCCTTGTGTCTTAGTGGCTTTACTGCCTTGCTTGAAATGAACTTTATTAAAAAATAAAAAAAGAAATTTTGGGTCTTTTTTAATGGAAATATTTTCTTATAAATTCAATTTTTCAATCCCAACTAACAAAAGGCATTTTTATGGGCTATTAATGACCAGAATTTTTGTCTGTTCTCCTTACAAAAACTATATTTTTAGAAGGTGACTTCTTTTCAGTATATTTACAACTTACCTGTCATTCAGTGTTTTTGAATTCTTTCTTAGGCATCTTTAGCTTTTTTCTTTCCATTTGCCTCAGTTCTGTTCTCCCAAGGAATAGTGAATTGCAAAGAGAATGCTCTGCTTGGAGGTTTCCAGTGTTGTGGCAACAATTTCTAGGAAATTCACTTGTTTCAGCTCCCAGTTTTCTGCCAATCTGAGCAGACACAAGATTGTGGTCTTTGTTATGGATGTTATCTGAAAATGATGGTTTCCTTCACTGGGCACAGGTGCTTGTTGGGGTCAATCCCACTGGAATTAGTGTCTGCTATGGACTGGTTCATGTGAGTGGTAGTAGTTCAGGATGAAAGTTCAAAATGTAATACTAATTTGTCAATTCTCATTTGAACTTGTCAATTCTCATTTTATGTTTATAAAAATTATATACTTGAGATTATAAATACTTGTTAGACAAGTTTACACTATACTGTGTAAATATCTTAATTATTATTTGCTTCTGTTTTTTGTATCATTTCATTAGAATTATTTTCCGATTTTAATAACACATTTCACCAATTTTCTTATATTCTTATTGAAAATTTACTCAGTTTAATTTTCTTAAAAAATATTTACTTCTTTGCCCATAGAAAATAAAGGTGCTAAGAATATGTAACAAGCTGATGACAAATGACAAATTTCTTTGTTTTGGAATGGCTGACAATATAGATTCCCATATAACATTACACATTGAGATATCTTTAAACTATTTATGCCCTTTAGAAATAGTTCCATTTAATATATCCCTCTCAGTAATAAATCTTACTTCTCTACATATATTCATCAAATAGAACCTCTTTAGAACCTCAATGTTTTTCACTCAAAAGCTTGCTGAAGCACTCACTGCAGGGATAATCTTATAATATAAAAACAAATGGTATGATTACAAAAATTAAAGAAACTCAAAACAATATCTCAACTGCAATATAAAAAATGGACAGGGATTCTATTTGCAAGCAATCTTATATAATCGCAATTAAAAAGTATGAAGTTTTGGAACATATCAGGAATTCAAAATGGAATGCATGAAGGAATGTAGAAATGACTGCAGCAAACAAATCACCTTGAGGAATGAAAGACAAGTGGATGACAAGTGAAGTTCTCCATGCAATGCAGGAGAGACAAGAGATAATTCTAAAAATAAAAGGCACTGTTTATAGAAGACTAAGCAAAATTATCAGAAATAAATAATGACAAGATATGAATAGCTAAATAGAAATTTTGCTGAGATTGAAAAACACCGATGTCAGTAAATCTGTAACAGGGTTTGGAAAATGTTTTTGTGATGTCATCCTCTGGTAATATACTGAATGTTTGCCTTATAGATAAACAATGAAGAAGTAGTCATGAAAAGTAAGAAAAAAGTAACTCAATTTTGGATATAATCTAACCTAGTATTGGCCAGCTGGTTTATTTCATTTGTCATTTTTATAATGCCGATTGATTCATTCATTTTCTATGGCTTATCAACCCTTTGTAGGTTATCTAACACCAGAAAATAATTTTTAGATTGTAAGAATATTTGGAGATAATAATCATTTAGTGATAGTAGTCTTACTAATTAATCCATAGCTGGGAGGAGAAGAAGTGGATTTATACCTTTCTCGAGAGTATTTGCCCATAAGTAAATATAACAAATGCAACTGGAATTGGAACAAAGCTCTTTGAATAACAATTCCAAACCATTATCCATTGCACCACCCAAGCTTACAGAACCTGGTATTTCCAAGTGGTCACTCATTTACGTACTTATCAGGCTTGACATTGCTTAACTTCAGTGATCATACAGGAACCAGTGTTTCAATGTGATATGGCTGTAAGTCCTTTATAAGTGCTGAGTCGATCAAGCAGGGTAGATGTTCATTATTTTACTCAATCCTGCAATTTAAAACCCTATTGAGTTCAAACCCTGACAATTCCAGGTGCTAATTCAGTTTATTATAATGAAAGGCTTTTTCTTTCTCCAACAGCCCATTAAAAAAACAAAAAAACATACAAGATTACTTCTGGGGTGCCAGTAAAATCTAAATTACTGAGTTTGGCTTTTCTTATTGACTTCTCAAGTTAATTCCCATTCTAACCATCACCGGGTATTGATTCCTTCTCTTGTAAAATCCATGATGATAATTCTGTTTTGCATAAAAAAAGATACATGAATAATGCATCAACTGTAAGAAGACAATGCATGAATTTGAGTGAAAAGTACAGGCCAACAGGTAGCATCAGTGACGTTAGAATTGAACATCCTAACAGGTATATATATTTGTGGGTCATTAATCAGAGAAGAAAAGTGTGACAGAAACATACTGTAAGGGGGTCATTCATTAAGTATATAATGATAACATCTGCATCTTTACCCACTCCTTGTAATACCCTGAATGGCTATTGGATAGACCCCCACCTTGTGCTATATAAAAAGCTGAACTATACCAAACTACTAACTTGAAATTTTCAGACATTTTATGTAACTTCAAATCCAAATTTTGATTACAGGTTTTTATAAGGAATACACAATTTGTATGAGTAATGTAATGATTTAATGTTGTTTAAGGTTAGTTAATAAATGTTTCTAAATAAATGAATACTTAAATAAAGAAATTGATTCATTTTCTATGGCTTATCAACACTGAAGGTTATTTAAAGCCAGAAAATATTTTTAGATTTTACAAATTTTTTTTTTCTGAGATAATAATGATCTAGTGATACAAAATGAGAAGAAATGGATTCATGCCTTTACCAAGGACATTTGCATGTAAGTGAATATAACAAACCCAACTGTAATTAGAACTCAGCTCTTCAGTTAACAATTCCCTGCTATTATCTATTACACCACCCACACATCCAAGCTTACAACACTAGGTATTAAAAAATGATAAAAATTATTCTCATAATTTTAACCCTACTACTGCTGTTACCAGATTCTGGAATTTGAATGAATGAATCTGTAAATTTCATTCCATTTGGATAGCTGTGAAAATTATTCTTAATTGAAGACAAATCCTAGTCAGATGCTTTGATCACATTAGGGTAGTTCTAGGTAAATGTTATCTGTTTTTCATAAAATCATTTGCACTGTTCATTGATCTCCCCACTTCACTCCATTCAAAAGTAGTAAAGTCTCTAAACCTGAGAATGTAAGCTTGGATGTGCAACTGATATAATGGATAGCATCTTGGATTTGGAAATTAAATTCCAGTTCTAGCTGGGTTATATTCACATACATGCAAATACCCTTGGAATGATATTGATTCACATCTTCTCCCTCCCCCAGCTATGGGTTAATTAGTAGGACTTGTATCATTAAAACCATTATTATCACCCAAATTCTTACAATCTAAAATGCTTTCTTGCTTTAAATAACCTGTGAACAGTTGATAAGCCATTGAAAACAAATCAATCTCAGCATGAGAACACACATACTGGTCCTTTCTGCGTCTGTTACAGTCTGTGCCTCTGAAACCATCTGAGAATAATTATAACAAACTGATACTGATAGCAAAGAAAACCAGATTTGACTTTTTTTAAGTACAAATTTAATTTTCCATCAAGAAACTGAAAGGGATGTACATATTGGTGTATACTACATTATTTGACATTTTATCAGGAATAAATTCTATGTTCACATTAAAAATTGATGCAAAACATGGTTTGTTGATTTATTTAAGATGTGATGATTGCTTATGAATTGTTGCTAATTTGTATTTAGATAAATTATTCAACATTTTGAGTTGGTTTTTTCACAAATATAATTTAGTATGATTTGTTATATGCCTAAAAGTTTGATAAAAGGAAACCAACAAGTCAATGGCAGAATAATTGTAAAAATTATTTTATTTTTTACTGTGTTTATTATTTCAGTTATTGAATATTAGTTTAATAAATGCTTCATAAGTTTAAAGCTTTGTAAGTTCATCTTTTTTTTCTTTAATCAGTTCACCTCTAGCAAAGCAATAATGCCACTAAGATGCAAGGGATTATTGTGAGTGAAAGCGAATGAAATCCCAAAATCCTAAACAGGGATAATCCTCTACTGCTGTTCAAAAGACTCGAGAGTTTAAATTTTTTTTAAAATTATTTTATTAATTTAAATTGAATTTTTAAAGTAGATATCTAAAATATATATCCATTATTGAAAGCTCAATTCCAAAATTTCTATGCCTTTAAGCTTTAAAAGAATAAATTCTATACATGAAATAATTGATTCTTATTCAATTTGCTAAATCATGGAAAAGTAAAAATACTTAAAAATATAAATTTATTTTTTGGAGATGATGAAAAAGAAAAGTACAAATGTTCTTTCTTTTTGTTTTGCACTATTTGTAATGTTTATTTTTATTTTTACCATTGTTAGCAATGATCAGGGCTGGTGTGTACTTAGCACTGGGAGTGGAGAACCTGATTGTGGACACCGGGTAGTACTTTGTGACCCTTAAACATTTGCTTTTTCTACCAATATTTATGTTAAAAAAATTAAACTAAGCACAACTGACAATAAATGATGAAAATGTTTTGCTGATTTTGATGTCATTCTGGGGTCTTAACTCTCAAAAACACTATATAAAATTCACTATTTTTTATGCATGATGCTGAATGTGTTTAAAATAAACAACTTTTTAACAAGAAAGATCTCAAGCTGATGTTTATTGCTGAAAAAAAAACGTTGATTTATTGAAGTTGGAATTATGTCATGTCTATAAATTTGTATTTATTTTCAAATTTTAGTTGTTGCTGTTTATCACTAATAATTTGATTTCAGTAATATTTGCATTTAATTTTAATATAACATCTCCTTTATGAAAAATGACATGTAAATCATATACTCAATCTCCCATATTGTGGAGAAATGTGGAGAAACGTCAAGGCATCTATTTTTGAATAATTTTGCTCAGTAAAAAATTAAAAAAAATGTCTACAAATCTGAGGATTTTATTTAAACATAAGGAACCAAATCGTGTTTAACACCGATTAATTGCTTTTGTTTAAAAATATCAATCGAAATATTTTCTCAAAAGTACTTTTATGTTTGCATCGAGTTTTTCCATTTCTCTTTTTTTTTTTCCTTGTCATTCGTTTCAATTTCGACATTAATAAGAAATGAACGAACAATACAAAAATTGGAGAAATTCACAGAAAATCATTTGGGCTCAAAGAATTCATCCTGTTTCGTTTTCTCATTGCATTTTCTGGTCTGAAAGGTAAGTGGAAGAATGAATATTTTTTTCAGAAAAGCAATAAAAAAGAAACGATAACGTCTCTCTTTTTTTTTTCGTTTCTTCAGTTGGAGTCGTAAAAAATAAAAATAAATTTAAGGTGGTGGTTTTATATTGTTAGATATTTGTTTAAAACAAGAAGAGATGTTCAGCTATGCACTGTATTCATAAAAAAGCAGAAAAACGCATTTTAAATAATACCTTCTTTTAAACTTAAATTTTGCTTTTATTTGAAAGATAGCCCGACGGTGTTTTTAAAGCATTTTTAAAATATTGGCAAATTTTTCATCACTCATTTTGCGTCATTAGGTGCAAAATATATATTAAAAAAATTCTCTTAAAAATCCAGTATTTATCATAGAGATATGTTTCGAAGTCATTTAGTAAATTTAAAGATTAATTAACTGGATTTTGTAATAAAAGTAATATTTACCCTTCTTAGTGAAAAATGTTTGTTTACGCGCGGTAGACTGTGGGAGAAAAGTCAGAATAAAAAAATGTACAATCATTCATACCCCTTACTTAAAAAGCGCGCTAAAACCTGAAAATAATAAATATGGGACATGAGCCGTGCAATAATCAAGACATTGGTATATTTAAAAATAAATTTAGTCTTCTCCTTTAAACAATATACATAAATTTATATTTTTTTTTCTTCTGTACGATTTTATGGAATTTAGTAGAATTAATTTTATTTTTAAACTACACTAAGCTTTTCTTTTTTAGTTTTTTTTTCAGTTAAATTAGGTACCTTCATGAGATCGCTAAAAGAAGCATAGTATGATGAAAAACACGCCAAACTTGACGAAAACAAAATTTTATCGTCTAAATGTTTGTTATTTAAGAGGAAAGATCAAAGTATTTGGGGGGTATTTTTTTTTACATTTTTTAATCGTTCCTAACACGTCCAAAATTTTTGTTAAAAATCTTGTTCTTTTTAGTCAGCAAAATTAACAGATAATCAATCATGTCAACCATTTTTTTCCATTTTATAAAAAAAAAATGAAAATCTCAGTTTGAAATTTTTCTAAAAATCTATAATTGATTTTTAGAAAAATTTCAAAACTTATTTTAAGAAATCAGAAATTATAATGTTTATTTAAAATATTTTGAAGCAAGCTTAACTTAGCTTCTGCGCCGAAAAGATGTATGAAAATAAAACAAAGTAGGTCATAACATTTCGCATCACTTGACAGGTGACAAAAGACATTTTCATGACGTATTGATAGCTTACGTGAGGATAATTTATTCTATGGAAGGAGAGAAGTGAAATTATTTAAATTTAAGTGAACAAATTATTCAGTTTGTTATTTTTAAGGAAAACTTTTAGCACTATTTTTTTTTTGTACTTAGCTTTTCACCTTTATGTTTACGATGATTTGTGAAAAATATATTATAAAGAAATTAAAATAAGACTGTTGAGAGTGAGATTAAATTTCATAAAATTGAAAAACAAAAAACTGTAAAACAACTTCACAAAATTAAAATTGCAATGAAATATGTAAATGAAATAAATGGTACTTTTAAAAATGTAGTAATGTTGCTGCTGAAAATGGATTAGGATGGTATTCAAATTTTTTTAATTAGTAAAAATGCTAACTCAAAATGC